AACCCCCCCCCAAAATCACCGTTAACTCTTTAGATGGGGGGGGGCAAACAAAAAACTCAAACCTGCTCATTTATAGGTCGTGAGAACCTATAAACCTATTCGCAAAAAAAAAAAAAAAAAAAAAATAGGGAGGCAGAAGGAAGGATGGGAATCGTCCCCTTTGGCAACAGCAAGCTATTGGAATACCTTCGTTGTAACGCAAAAACTATATACTGAAAAAAAATAGGCAACGTATGCTCATATTAATTCTGCTGCTCCCCAAAACCCCGGCACGTACCAGCCAGCCATTATGCACTGGACCCACCTACAGAGGATACAATCGCTCCTCCAGGTTTTTATTACAAGACTTCCCTTTTCTCTCAGGGCTCGCAAGGAGTTTAGGCTACTTAACATCACCTTGAGCTTCAGGAGTCTCAGAAGACCGTATCTGCAGCCAATAATAAAGAGATTAAAAGGCACATTGTTTCAGTACAGCCCCACCAGATATACCTCCTTTTAATTCGAAGTCTTACACCTTATTTTTAAATCTCTAGCCCAATGATTCATGTAGTTCTGACTTGTACAGTTAAAGGATTACACGCAGGAATCGCAGAAGGCGACACCACTCTTCAGGCTGAACATAAACACGTAACACCTTCTGGGACCAGTTTATGCATAAAGTCCTCCTACGCATGCAAAGCATAGCCACAATTTGTAAAGCGGGCAGCTACTTATCTTATCTGGACCTGCATTCGCCCTTTTTACAAATTGCCTGGGGCTGCGTGTCACAGTGCCACCTCACCGTGCAGAGCCTTACCGGCAATAGTTGTGAGTAAGCCACGACCAACACCGCTGCTTCACCCCATTTGAACAGTTAGTCCCCACGGTGCCTGCCTGGCCTTTGCGTGTGCCCATGCATCCCATTTACTAGTAGGCTGCAAGAAAATAATTTAGGTTTACTAAAAAGGCCGACATTCTAGGAAGGCTACAATTATTAGCCTGAGCTTTCTTAATTACAAGGTTGAAACCCCTTGCTTTCTCACACAGAACAGTGATGGGGGTTTGCTATTTCACAGTCCCGTTCATTTGGCAGTTGCTGCGTGACTTGCCAATTTTGCTTTCAGGACATTTGGGGAAAGTTCGGCATCCTTTTTGTAGTCGATGTAGTGGTTAACCTCTCATATAACAATACATTTGATAAATATTCATTCATCCGCACAGCAATTCCACTTATGAACCTTAATATTGCTGAAAATAGATAAAATCCAAACAACGTCCTCCGGGTTTTCAGTCTGAAATGTTGTGCCTCGCGTATAGTAAGCGTGTCACCCACCATGAGACTCAGAACATTTTCAGATGCCTGGAAAAATTACTTTCCTCTATGCGAGTAAAGAATATACGCATCAACCTTCTGACTTTTATTTTTGATTAAAAGGAGCAATAAGCCAGGAAAAATAATAATTCTGCAAGACATCTGTTGCACAATGCACACACTGAGAGAGAAAGAAAGGAA